GACAGATAAAAATAACATAGTTGAACGAGGCAAAAATAGAAAAAAAAACAAAAAAACACACACACACACACAGCAAAAACACGCGCTACGCATCATCTGTTAAAAAGTTGGTAATAGCATTTTTAAAATAAACAGTGTTAGTTATTGAGACTATATGTGCGGGAAGGCGATTCCAATCAATGGAGGTTTGGGGTAGAAAAGAAGCATTAAAAGTGGATGTGCTACAATGGGGAATCCCTACCTTTAGGTCATGGTCTACACGTGATGATATGTACGATGGTTCTAAAAACAATGCTTGACGGAGAGCGGGGTTAGAGTAATAAATCTTGTGAAATAAACATAGACGAGATATTTTTCTTCGGAGAGAGAGATCAGGTAAGGAGAGGGACGATTTCATGGAAGTTACACTGGCTGTACGATGATAGTTCGAGAGTATGAAACGGGCAGAACGATTCTGAATAGATTCGACAGCTGATGCAAGGGTGATACCGGGGCTCCAGATAGAAGCTGCATATTCCAGTTTAGGACGAACTAGGGTTTTATAGAGGAGAAGTTTTAACGAAAGACGAGCAAGCGAAAAGTTACGTTTGAGCTAGCCCAAAAGCCTATTTGCGTTGTTAGTGACATATTGGACGTGGATATTCCAGGAGAGGTCGTTGGTTATGTGAATGCCGAGATATTTATAGGAGGACACAGAAACTAAAGTAGAATTGTTAATTGAGTAGGAAGGACAAGTGTTGTTATGACGAGATACTCTCATAGATGTACATTTAGTGATGTTAAGCTCCATGAGCGATTCCTTGCACCATTTGCAGATGAGTTCTTGATGCATTTGCAGGTGTGGTCTAGAGTGAGGTGAAGATGATGAGTTAATGTTAGCAGTTGGGTATCACAGGAATAAAACTTTCGAAAACCGTGTTGAGCTGTGTTGAAAAAAGAGTTAGAGTCAAGAAAATTAACAAGATGTGAATATATTACGTGTTCAAGAATTTTGCAAGGGATGCTCGTTAGAGAGATCGGGCGGAAATTAATAGGATTATGTTTATCGCCGCCTTTATGAATTGGAATCACCTTCCCCACCTTCCAGTCACTGGGTAATATTCCTTGTTCGAGAGACTGGGAAAAAAGATAAGATAGAATAATGCTTGAATACGTTTTAGTGTTCTTTAGAAACTTAACAGTTACATTGTCGATGCCGGCTGCCGAAGAGGTTTTAAGATTTTCGATTATGTTAGCAATCCCTTCAGATTCTATAATGACAGGATACATTGGCAAAAAGTTACAAACTGGAGCTGCGGTAAAGTTGGAGGTAACAGGGCACGAAAACGCTTTGACAAAAACATCATTTAAAACAAAAGAACACTGATCATTTGGTACATCTACTCCGTCAGCCATTCTAAGCGCAACATCGGAGCTTTCAGTGGGGTTAACAACTTTCCAAAATTGACGGGGGTTGTTTATTAGCATAGATGGTAACAGAATATTAAAAAATGAGCTTTTAGCCTCTACAACAGCATTTTTGTACACGCCCGCAGCTAGATGGTACGCTGCCCAATGCTGTACGTCATCCTTCAGCTTGGCAGCACGAAACAAACGCTTCTTTTTATTTGAGAGCCTTTTCAGAGTCACGGTATACCATGGCGATTCAGGTGACGACGTTATGTTGCGAAGAGGTACATGTGCCTTCATCAGTGATACCACCTTATCTTTGAATAAACGCCAGTTGTCTGCGACTGAGCGCTCGGCAAAACAGTGCATATACCGATCTAAAAAGAGACTCATTTCATTGTTGATCACATCAAAGTCCGCTCTAGCATAATCGTGTATTTGCTTTATTTGTTTTGATTTGCGGGAACTGGGAATGTTTAATATAAAATGCAACAAGGAATGATCACTAATACCAGGCATGTAAGTCAATGAAGTAATAAGCTCGGGCGATGTTGTTAATATAAGGTCTAAAACAGAGGCAGTTGTAGTTGTAATACGCGTCGGTTTCGTAACAATTTGTGCAAAGCTAAAGTCCAAGCACAAGTTCAAAAACTCACTACTCTCTGAAGAAAAGGGACTGAGGCTAGCACCCATATCTGACCATACTATGGCGGGGTAGTTAAAATCACCCAGCAGCATTATTGGCGTATTGGGAAAACGCATCATGACTCCGTTAATGGCGTCGTGTAGGCTTGTAACAAAAGTGGCACTTTTTGAAGGAGGACGATAACAAACGCCTAAAATATATTTTTTTTGTTTTTAACTGAAGACAAACCCATAGAAGCTCCAGTTCAGAAACAATACTGATTTGAAATGATAATACGTTTTCCGCCACCGCGACCAATACGCCACCGCCATTGTTTTCGCCTCTGTCATGACGGTAAAAATTGAAACGTTTATGACAGTTTAGTATTTCATCGTTACGTATTTTGCTTGACAACCAGGGCCCGTTTGCTCGAAGCACTAACCGCGGCTAAAGTTAGCCGCAGTACCTAGGAGGGGGATTTTGAGATCACGTGACTGGCTCGGTAGGGATGCGGGGAAACATGGCGGTGCCCCGGTGAGTGAGCGCCGCTCGCTTTGGAACTAATATGTCGTTGTAGTTGCAATATTGGGCGCGTTAGTCAGCAACGAATGGTGCAGGAGGCTTTCGCTTTGCCTTACCTCACTTAAACCGCAAAACATGGGCAATGACATCGTGGGAATATAAGCGCCAAAAAAACACGGACAAAGAGTAGATTGACAACGACACAGGGCGCACTCTCAACTGAATTTATTAGGAAAAAAACACACCATCGCCGCATTTCTTAGATGGTGTTTCGATTCTGGGCACTCCTAAGCCTAAATGAACGCGATAATTGTCGGCATAGCAACGTCTTTGAAAAGCGGATTGTTGATAGCCCACAAAAGCAGACGGCGTCCCAACAGACCTTTTCTTTAAATTATCCAAGCACCGAGGTGCATGCTACGACTGTAGTTGCACGCATCGCACGTGCTGGCGTCTGCAGTAGTAACCGTTCTAAAGCAAAAAGTATAAAACAAATTTTGCCTTGCACGCGCGTTCGTTAAAGCCTTATTATGATTTTTTACTTCAAATATTTTATAAGAGGAAGGCCAGCGCGCGTGAACCGTAGAATTACACTTCCAGCGTTCTCCTCGCGATGCTTGGATAATTTAGAAAAAAGTCTGTCGGGACGCTGTCTGCTTTTGTGTGCTATCAACGATCCGCTTTCCAAAGACGTTGCCATGCCGACAATTATCTCGTTCATTTAGGCTTAGGAATACCCAGAATCGAAACACTGTCTAAAAAATGCGGCGATGTCATTGCCCATGCTTTGCGGTTTAAGTGAGGTAAGGCAAAGCGAAAGCCTCCTGCACCATTCGTTGCTGACTAACGCGTCCGATATTGCAACCACAACGACAAATTAGTTCCAAAGCGAGCGGCGCTCACTCACTGGGGCACCGCCATGTTTCCCCGCATCCCTACCGAGCCAGTCACGTGATCTCAAAATCCCTCTCCTAGGTACTGCGGCTAACTTTAGCCGCGGTTAGTGCTTCGAGCAAACGGGCCCAGGTCTCGGTGAGAACAACAACATCCGCGTCTGATGAGTCCACAATGGACGACAAGTCATCGCGGTTACGTATAACGCTTCTAATGTTAGTAAATATAACAGAAATATTTACAAGGGGTGACTCACTAATGTCATCCGAACGCTATGACAGAGCAGGTGCTAGGTTAGAACTGCCGGTTTTTCTGAGCACCATGACGGGGTCATGAAGTCCGGAAGGAGTCCCGTCTGGCTCCAAGTTCCTCTCAGGTGGGTTTAGTTCGCGAACGGAGTCTGTGCCAGGCGCGTAGATGTAACATTTGTTGTCAACGAGTAGTTTGTCGAAACGCAATTTGATGGGCTTCCCATGCGACCTGGCGAACTCTATCAGTTTCCGCCTAGCAAGGCGGACAGACGGTATATAATCCTGACTAACGGAAAAAGGGGTGCCCTTAAGCTTGAAAGCGTTTGAAAGCACCGTCTCCTTTTCTTTATAGACCATTTTTACAATAATGGGGCGATGCTTTTGGTGACTGAACCTGCCAAGACGATGCGCTCTTTCGATAGCTGCTGTTGAAAGTTGGATGCCCAATTTTTCGCGACACACGTCCAGAACAGCTTTTTCCGATTGTGCCCAAGTTTCTCTCTCCCCGTCGGGGAGGCCAAAAAATAGAAGATTCGACCTGCGCGCTCTGCTTTCTGTGTCATCGCAGCGCGCCCTAAGTTCTGATATCTCGGAAACCGCCGATGTTATCTGGGGATCCGATATTATGCAGTTACTTGCACTTGCTTCTTTTATTGTGGAAAGTTCGTTTTCTAAGTGGCAAACTCGTGTGGTGAGGGCATTCAACGATTCATCAGTGCTACTCTGTTTTTCTTTTAACTCTCTAACCTCCTGAAGTATGCTAGTCTGGCCAGTCTGCAATGACGTGACGATGGTGAAAACTTGGTTAAGTAGGTCCTCTTGCGCTTTCGTCATAGGACCAGGGTTAGTCTCAATGTCCCCTCCGAGGAGTAAAAGTGACATATATCTAGCACTTTCTACGTAGGCAGCCACACAAGCACTACCAACGCGATACAGTTCACAACATTCAAGGTACAACACTGAGCATGCCTTGGGGCCCGGCAGCAAAAAAAGACACACATTGTTGCTCTTTAAACCAAGGTGTTTAAAACTACTGACCTGTAACGATATGACGAAAAACTTAGGCATCCTGCTCGGATGGAAGCTGTCGGGCCCACTGGCGATGTTGAGTGATGCCGCCGCTTGTCTACCCAGTGGCGCTGAGCTCGCGGAGGTGGCTGATGGTGACTGGTTGGGGTCAAGCAGGGGCAGAACCGCAGGAAACACGTGCTGAAGACCGATCCACAAAGAATAGGCCGGTGATGACGGATGCAGTTTAGTTGTATCTGTAGATGTCGCTGATGTGAAGTTGCCTCCGATGATGGTATTGCCGTTCCCAGATTGTGGTGACCATGACGGTGCCAGGACGGTAGACAGCAACTGTAACGATATGACGAAAAACTTAGGCATCCTGCTCGGATGGAAGCTGTCGGGCCCACTGGCGATGTTGAGTGATGCCGCCGCTTGTCTACCCAGTGGCGCTGAGCTCGCGGAGGTGGCTGATGGTGACTGGTTGGGGTCAAGCAGGGGCAGAACCGCAGGAAACACGTGCTGAAGACCGATCCACAAAGAATAGGCCGGTGATGACGGATGCAGTTTAGTTGTATCTGTAGATGTCGCTGATGTGAAGTTGCCTCCGATGATGGTATTGCCGTTCCCAGATTGTGGTGACCATGACGGTGCCAGGACGGTAGACAGCAACTGTAACGATATGACGAAAAACTTAGGCATCCTGCTCGGATGGAAGCTGTCGGGCCCACTCATGTTCTGAATATGTTCGGGGGTGGTAGAAAATAAAAGATCAAGTGTGTTGTCGAGTCTTGTTGGTTGCATGATGACTTGAGTGAACGTAAAATCAAGAGTTAGGTCGAGAAATTTTCTCGATTCATTTTCTGCAGATTTGTTTGCGACTGTTAGATCTGTCCAGTTGATATTTGGGAAGTTAAAATCGCCGAAAAGGAAGAATGATGCTTTACGGCGAGTATTTCTAAACTCGTAGAGCGCGTTGCGCAGCTTATCAGTGAAGTCATTGTTGCTGTCGGGTGCTCTGTAGCAGATTCCGATTATTATTTCGGAAATAGGTGATGTGACGCATACCCACATTAGCTCAAGATTAGTATCGCGGTTGATGCAGAAGGAGGATATGTTATCTTTTATGGCAACTAGGACGCCACCGCCCCTTCTCAAGCGCCGGTCATGACGATAGATATTGTAGTTCATGTGGGGTGGAAATATTTCAGTGTCATGTATGTGTTCAGTTAACCAGGTTTCTGTGAGGACGATAATGTCGGCTGCGCAATCGTCAATGAGGCCGTGTAAGTCATCCCGCTTGGGCATGACGCTACGTATATTAGTGAAGAGGACAGAGAACTGCAATCGCTTTTCAGGTTTATGTTTTATTGCGGAGGCGGTGCAGTTTTTCCGGGTATTGCATAGTTAGCTCCGCGATTCGATCACTAAATCCGAGTTGGCGTCGTATATATAGCATACGTTGCCTACATAGAGCCTATCGAGCCGTAGTTTGAAGGGACATTTCTTTAGCTTGGCGAACTGAAGAAGTTTGCTGCGTGCTACTCTCGTTGCCGCCGAGAAGTCTTCACGAATTGCGAAGTTGGTTCCCTTTAGTTTCGGCCCGCATGCCATGATCAATTCCTTGTCCTTGAATCGACTCAGCTGAACAATTATTGGACGGTTTTTGTTCGTTGCGAACTTGCCCAAGCGGTGTGCCCGTTCAATGTTATTTGCATCAAGGCTGAAACCTAGCTGCCTTGTGCAAAATGCTATCAACCTTGTTTCGGATTGTTTCCAAGTTTCTTCTGGTGAATCATCAATCCCCATGAAGAGCAAGTTGTTTCTGCGCAGTCGGTTGCTGGCATCTTCGCTAGAGGCCTGAAGGGCTGCGATTTCGGTTGTAAGTGCTTTTGGGACTAGGGCCGGTTCAACACTGACTGGGTCCGCCTTGTTATTTTCTAATGCAGCAAGTCTAGCCTGGAGCTCTTCTATGGCCTTATCTGCTGCTGACTGCCGCTCTTTTACAGACTTTATTTCGGCGAGTATATTTGATTGTCCCTGTTCGATACGTTGAACGATGGCTAAAATATCTTCTAAAGTAGGCCCGGGGTTCGCTTCAACATCTCCGGACAAGAGTAGAAGAATTTGTGATAGGAACACATTGGCGCACATTTCACAGCACAAGAGCATACAACTGCGCCATTTCAAGTCGTAGGGGCACGACATTGCGATTAAACAATAATCACTACTTCTATAGGCATACGCTCGATCGAGGTAACTAACCTGTATCAGAAGCAGGGGTGAGTTCATCGTGTCGTTCGCGATGTCGTGCCCCGTCGGGTAGGCGTGAACTGGGTGGTTATGTAGGGCGCGCACAGAGTCTTTGTTGCGTTGTGGCGAAGATCCAGGTTGCCAACCGCAAAGGTTGACTTGCTCCACTTTTGGCCAGATCCGCGATGGAGTGGGTGTTTGGCCCGGATGGCCCGTCCGTAGGTCCGATATCTTGAACGGCTGGTGGTTTTGGCATGAGTCAGCAAGGCCGACGGCGAGTGACAGGACCTGTATCAGAAGCAGGGGTGAGTTCATCGTGTCGTTCGCGATGCCGTATCCATACAAAGTCACCGATGTCATAAGATGCATCGCGGTGGGTCCTGTCATATATCGTCTTCCGTGTTTCCTGAGCTTGTTCAGAGTTACTGACTGCTTCGCTTCGCAGGTCTGGTAGTGCTAGAAGTCTTTCGCTGAGGTCAGAGGCTTGATGTGGGCGGACTTTCTGGTGTGGCAGCTTTGGTATGAACCCGAACAAAAGTTCGAAGGGTGAAAATCCGGTGCTTCGGTGGCGGGTTCTGCTCACAGCAAAGGCGGCCTCTTCCAGTTTAGCGACCCAGAGTGACTGATCACCGTCACACAGTTTCCGAAGTACTGTCACAAGCGTCCCGTTGGCACGTTCAACAAGTCCATTGCTGGCAGCACGGTATGCTACTGAGAAGTGCATGTTCACACCATGCATGCGCATGAAGCTCCTGAACTGGTGGGACTCGAATGACTTGGCATGGTCGGAGAGACAGTCATCACAGGCTCCGAATCTGTAGAACAGTGAATGCAAATGTTTCGGCACATCTTTTGTTGAAGTTGTAGGCACTGCTGCTGGGACGATGTATCTGGTTGCGAAGTCGATGACGTTGAGTATGTACTTCTCTTCTGTTCCTGGCATTGTGATGTGATCAAGGGCTATTGCACTGAAGGGGATCTCTGTAGTGGGCATGAAACACATTGTGCCAACTGATCGCGTGGTGGGTCGGTTGTGCGCTTGGCAAACTTGACAGCCTTCGACATACTCTTTCGTAGTAGCCGTCATCTTCGGCCACCAATAACGGTCTTTGACCTTTGTGAGGGTGCGTGACGCATCCATGTGTCCATTGGCGTCATGAGCAAGTTCAAGGACCTGCTGTTGCATCTTGGCCGGGATAACAATTGTGCACAGTTCTGGATTCACAACTCTGCACAGGGTCTTGTCGACCACAACAAAGTTCTGGGTGTCCTGTCCTGACAGAAGTTTTGCACGTATGGCCTTGCACGTTTCGTCTCAGCTTGCATTGCGATGAGTGTGTCGACCTGGGACACCGTGGCACATGAGTATCGTGAAAGCATGTCAGCCACGTGGTTCTGACGTCCGGGTCGGTGCTCAACCGAGAAGTCAAACTCGGCTAGGTCGAGTAGCATTCCTGTGAAGCGTCGCGACGGCTTGAAGTTTGTGGTCAAACAGGCGACTGACCAGTTGTCAGTCAGAAGATGGAACCGTCGTCCCAATAGGTAATGTCGAAATTTCACTGTAATGGCCCAATGCACGGCCATGGCTTCCCAAACATTGCTGTGCAGTTTCCGTTCAGGTTCCGTGAGCAATCGGCTGGCATACTCAATCACAGTCTCTTTTCCATCTTGCTTCTGGGCGAGTACTGCTCCAAGGGCTGTAGCAGATGCGTCTGTGGCAACTGTCGTAGGCGCGTCAGCATCAAAGTGGCCAATTATTGGTGGTGACGTTAGTGCAGAGCGAATAGTTTCAAAAGCCTGCTGGCCCTCAGGTGTCCACTGGAACTCGACGTTCCGAATGGCGGCTTGAAGAGGCGCTGCAATCTTCGAAAAGTCACATATGAAGCGTCTGTAAAAATTGGCCGTTTGGAGCCACGATAGCAGCCGTTTCGACGTTGTTGGCGCTGGGATTCGCAGGAGTGCTTCGATCTTTGAAGGGTCTGGTTGTTTGCCTTGTTCAGAGATCACAAATCCAAGAAACTTCACAGAAGGAACCGCAAACTTGCACTTCTTCAAGGAAACCTTGAAGCCGGCCTGCTGCAGGAGAATCAGGGCCTCTTCGAGAAGATCCAGGAACTCCGAAAAGGTGTCGGCAAAGATGATGATGTCATCCAGATATGTGCGCACACCTGATTTGGACTGTCGGGGCTTCAGCTGAGAAAATATCTTGTGCATCGTTTTTTGAAAGGTGGGCGGTCCATTCTTCAAGCCAAAAGGCATTCGCGTCCACTTGAAGGTACCTTGATGAGTGATGAATGTGGTTTTCTCTTGGTCTTCATCTTTCACTCTGATCTGCCAGTACGCACAGCATAAGTCCAAGACCGCAAAAAGGGAGCTTCCACCAAGGTCATCAAAAATGTCATCAGCTCGGGGGAGTGGCTGCAGGACATTTACTGTCATCTGGTTTAGAGGTATGTAGTTCACACATAGCCTCTTTTTGTCTTTTTGCGTCACAACAATCGCTGGGAATCTCCATGGTCCAGAGGATGGACGAATGATGTCATACTCGAGTAGAGATGCTGTCTGACGCTCGAGGAATTGTCTGTCACTGGCGGTGTAGCGGTAGGGCTGTCGACCGTAGGGCTTGGCGTCGGGCATCAGCTTGATCTCGTGTTCAATGCCTTCATAGAGGCCAATGTCCTCAGGGCTGCTGCTGAAAAGACCAGCATGGCGTTGTACAATGCTCTTTACGGCTTCTTGTTCTTCGTGACTTAGCTGAGCTCCTAGGCAGATATCGGTCAAATTATCATCAAGAATGATAGCAGGCTGGTCTGGAGGCAACGGTCTTGGGGGGCCTGTCTCGAGGTGGCTCGTGGAGCGAGTTGTGTCCGCCTGAGGTAAGGTTGCCTTGTTGAGTTGGCTCCACAAGGGTTCGTTTTCATCTGGCTCGTGCTCGACTTGGGGTGGCTCTGCTGTAGAGTGCGGGGGGTCAAAACGTGACAACGCAGAAGTTGTCAAGATTACTGCATTTGACATTCTTGGCAAGAGTTCCTCCTTACACTGCACGATAATGTTGTTTGACGGTTGGCAGATCACAGGTAGGAGCGGAGGCTTGAAATGCAGTTCCGCTTGGGCTGCGTAGAACCAGTCTTCTCCCAGAATGAGCGGGAGGGCATTCCTTTCAAGGACGGCTGCTTTGACAACTGCAGACAGAGGTCCGGTAGTTATCCGCAGAAAGACTGATCCTTCGGGCATGACTGAGCTTCCTCCGACGACAAGCAAAGGTGGCTTGGTCCACGGTTCCAGCTTGAGGTTTGATGGTAGGCTTGCTGCAAGGATAGTGACGTTCGAACCACTGTCTGGGAAGGCACTGATCTCTCCCAGTCCTTTGACTTGTGCGGTGACTACAGCACATCTAAACTTGGATCCAGACAAGAAGTCCTCGGCGCGGCCAACACAAGCCGTTGGTGCTTTGGGGACTGTCTGCTTGTCACGAACAGGCTGTTTTGGTTCGGTACATTTGCTTGCGAGGTGGCCCTTCTTTTGACAGTTGTAGCACACGGCATCTCTCAAGTCTTGTCCTCGTCTGTATGCTGGGGCACCATACTTCGTCGAAATGGCCTCATACCTTGATTCTTGGTCAGGAGGTGGTAGGCTGGTGATGCGAGGAGGCGGCATAACACGTGTGGTGTGCTGGAAGGTAGATGATCGACCAGACTGTGGGGAGTTCACGGCACTGTCAGATTTGGCGATGGTACCTTGAGGCGTGGGGCGTCCTAAGGCTTGCTCTGTTGACTTTGAAGATCGGGCCAGGCGGGTGTGGTCCAATGCTCCATCCACTTCAGACACTATGCTGAGGAAGTCGTCCACGGTCCGGGGTCGCTGAACGGCGATGGATGTGGCTACCTGTTCGTCACGAATGCCTTGAACGAGGTATTCAATGCGTTCCTTGTCGGCAATATGAACTGGACAGCGTGACATGCGCTTCAGCTTTGCGAAGGCGTACTGCTGCAGGCTCTCTCTGGCTTTCTGCGTGATCGCTGCGACTCTCTGGTGCCACTGAATGAGTGAAAGTTGTTCACCAAATTGCTCTTCAAGCCCGGCTTTCCAAATGGTCCAGGTTGTAAGTTGTCGCCCTGTTGACACATGCCAGTCTGCTGCGACACCACGTAGCTTCCCTTGTGCGATGGCCAAGAGAGTTGGGTCTTCCCATCGCGCAAGTCGTTGAGTGCGCTCGAGCTCTTCGACCCAATGCTTGAGGGTAGGGGTGCCACTTCCGTTGAAAGTAGGCAACGAAGCTGAGAGATCCGGTAGCGTCGTTAGGCGCACCGGATTCGCTTGACTCGCTATCGTTGTCATCATCACGGCCATGTTCTGATGGAGGAAGGCTGTCATGCGCTGCATGTTCTCTGGTGGGTCTGATATAAAGGTTGGCGTTTCCGGGAATGACATCGTAGGTGCTGGCACGGTTGGAAACGACGTCGAAGCTGCGGGCACGTTTGGCGGTGGTTCTTGGGCGGTATCGACCAGAAGTCGGTCGATCAATTCCTCCTTGTTGCCGGTTGTGGAGAGGCTCCGGCGCTGCAGCTCGGTTTTTATCATCTGTACATTCAGGGTGGCAAGGTCTTCGGCGGTGGCAACACGCCAGTTGATGAAAGGCATCGTTGTTGACGGGCTAGGCTGAGTAGGCTTAGGAGGCGGTTGACGTTCCGACAGCGCTCAATCAAATGCGGAGAGGCTTACTTGACGGGCAAAGCGGCTGCGGCAGGTTGCGGGCGTCGACTGCGCCATGTGTGAGCGGTGGAGCGGGCGTAAAGGGGTAAAAAGGCTTTAATTTGGTAGAAAAGGGGCTGGGTTACAAGTTCGTCAACACACGAGGCTCATGGCGGCTCTTCACGCTCCTTGCGCTGGGCTGCCCAAGGTTGTTAGACCAGGTCTCAGTGTCCGCTGTCTGGGGGTCACGTCAGCTCACAGTATGACTCTGGCACGCGGTTATTCACAACTTTCAGCGATGGTGGTACCGCGGTGTGAGAATCTCGCTCCCTAGCTCCTGGATGATGGGCCTCATAATAAATGGGCTTGCCTACACCTTCCTGGCGTGAAAAAATAACGTAAAGCTCTAAAACTGCGCGTATGTATAGCAAAACTAGAATTACTTAAGCGTCGCAGACCCAGCCTCGCACCGCTGTTCTACGACGATCGTCCAGATGACATGTAGAAGTGTCTTCTGTTTCTTCAACAAGTCTTCTTTCCTGTCTTCTGTTTTCTTCAACAGTTTCCTAACGTTTTTCGCTGATTTTAATCACGTTTCCAGATGACAGCCATTTTGACACGTACCACTGGACCCCCTTTAGGTCGTGAATGCTGCAAATTTGGATATTGGAGTGCGGCTGCGTTACTGATGGTAAGAAGACGAAGATCGTCGGTTCTTTGGCGCGCGAACCTCTTGTCTCGAGCGAGTGCCGCTCAGCTGCCAGAACCTTTGTTCTGGATTTTGTTGTCCAAATGGTTCCAACCGGATAACCCGCAGGTAAGACAAACGAGCTTGATGATCGCGCTGTTCTATCCTCTTGACAGCCGTAGAGGATGGTGGAATACGGCTTGTGTGAAGAACTGCAGCGCCCGTCCGTGCTTCGAATCCTCCGCGGCAGCCTTAGGTCGTTTGATAGATGCCTTTCAATGCGATGGTTTGGCGAACGAAACACCGTTCGTTTGGCAAAAGCCTGGATTTCATTTTCTTTTTCGTATGTTTTTATCCTCTCTCACTCGATCAAACCTTGTCGAGAATCGAAACCGGAAAGGGCCCGGTAGCCATGGGTTATATATGCCCTTCTCGTGTAAGGAAAAGCGTGCACGCATGTACACGCTTTTCCACTTCGCCGTACACGTGGCTTGTCCTGCCTCCTTTATTGCGTGTGCTCCGGTATACGTTTTGGTGGTGACTACTTGCGACGGCACACTATTTTCTGTCGGGCCCAACAAGCCTTCTTGTCGACTCCGCTTCTGGGTTTGTTGTACCCAAGAACTACAAAAAGAAATGCAAAAGTGTAGTTACTTTTCTTTCCTGTGAGGGCCGGTGGTAGGCCCCAGGAAGAAAGAACAAGTTTAAAGATTAAGATAACTGTTTATTACGGGAGAAGGAAGGTATGTCTGAGTCAGTGGGACGGGCGGAAGCAACTGGAAGAGAAGAACGCAGGCTTGGAGAATCTTGAGGCGAAGAGGCGATGGCTTCGGGGCAGGGGCGAGGGCGAGGCTAGTTTATGAGGTGAGGGGTAAGGTTACAGCTGCGGCGAAGAAGTCGGCTGCCGGGGTTTGCGAGCAGAGTCGACTTGGCTGGTGTTTACATTTGGGCGATGGGTAGAACTGAGGGCGAGAAGAATGGGCGGTGGTTTGGACGGCGAGGGCTCGTTGGCTCTAGAGAACTCGGGTTGCGGGGAGCAATTTGGAAGGAAAGAACGGAGCGGGGGCGGCAGAGGGGATGGAAGAATAACAGATGGCTACGGTTAACATATGCTCACATTCCTTTTCTTTTTTTTACTGTTTTTTTTTTTTTATTGGGTAAGCGCTGTCACTGCCGTATCCCTTCTCTGGGAAGCGAAGGGCGCGCTTCACCCCCCCACAGGCATCCCCGCTTACTGGCGCCGCCACGTGGAAGCCGCACGCACTTTTCTGCCCCCAACATTCGCGTTGCGCCTGTCCTGATGTGATAAGCGGCAACTGTTGCGCCTCATGTTAAACCGGGTTCAAGCACCCTAACGGGTATAATCAGCGGCTCCAAAAAGTATAATAAAAATAACGTGCGCCAGGCCTTTTTTTTTTCTTTAATAGATTGATTTCACTATGCGTTCGATGCATGCATGACGCCGTCATAACTTCAGTCATATGCTTTAGTTCACAAGATGTAGAAGGTCGTGCATGCGAGCGCTCGTGCCGTCACGTGCTCCACACAAGCTAGCTCCGGCGGGGTTGTCGCACGTGCAGAAAGATAAAGTTACCTCGATGGGGGGGCGGGGGGGGGGGGGGGCATTGCGGCAGCGGTGGCGTAGTCAAACTGACTGGTCATATCGGTCTCTTGTTCATTTGCGAACGAAGATAGTCTTTTTCGTGTGTTTTAGGCCTTTTATGCAGAGCGTGAGCGGACGATGTTATGAAGGTTCGAGTCAACGTTACTAGATCAACTCAGTTGTGGAACTCCCGCAAACGAATGTATCTCCCCTCCTCCTCCTCAAGTCCGCTTCACGTCGTTTGAAGTGATATCGCGGAACACTTTTAGTTTCCTTACATCCCTTTTTAGGCTTGAAAAACTTTCGACAAAGTTACCATTTCTCATAGTACGTATATTTGATCTCGAAAAAACAAAACCTTCGCTGTAGTGAAATGCAGTTCCAGGATCTCATCGATGGCGCCAGCGCGTGCTGTCTCGTTGTAAGAGCTCGGTCCACACGCAAATCGCTCCTGCCGTAAGGAGTCGCAAATATGTGAACCAGCCTTAAGCCTCTCCGGTCGTAAGCAGTCGAAAAATGTGCGAACCAGCCTTAAAGGCTCGTTCAGACACCTGCGTTTGACTGCGTTAAGACTGTTTCCGTCGAGCTGTTGCTATGGCGACCCTAACGACTAGACAATGGGGAGGCGCTGTGCCGCACGATGCAACACAGAGCAATGCAGTCGACGTAACTGTGTGAGAGAGCCTTAAAGCGGCTGAGCGGAGTAGGATCTATTCTGATGTACTCCGTGTCACTTGTGTAACACTACTATAGTGTGCAGTGCCCGCGAAGGCTAAAGCCCCTTCATGTTTCAAAAGTAGAGCAAGGTGCGTCGATGCACGAGGCACGTGTAACGTGCAGCCCTTGGGAAGACCATGCCGGCACAGCTCAGCAATGAACTAGATTTTAGACGCCATGTTCCTCCCAGAAGTGGCGCGCGGCACTTGTCCCAAGCATTTCCACAACAATGAAAGGCGTCATTCTTTCCTAGGATAGAAGGGCTTTACCGAAGGTAATTCCAAATACTTTACTAGGGGGAAAACATTCCACTCCTCTCAAATACAATAGCCTCGGCGCGGACAGGTTTTCTGGGCTTGGCGATAGTCATCTATCGTCGGGGAGGTCTCGGTTATCGGGCGGTAAATGATGATGATGATGATGGTGGTTTTACATACCAAATTCATTGTCGTGGAAATGCTCGAGAGACGTGCCGCGCGCCGCTTTTAGATCATGGCGTCTAAAATCTAGCTCAGTACTGCGCCAAATACTTTGCTGCGTTGCGCCGCCATGATCTTCCCAAGGGTTGCACGTTGCACGTGCCTCGTGCATCGACAAACCTTGCGCTACTTTTGAAACATGAAGGGGCTTTAGGTGGAATCGGAGACGAAACCGCTGCGGCCGCCGCGAACATCCACGTGCACATGCGCGTGGAGTGACGCGGACCTCCCCTTCGTCAGTCCTGGATTCGGCGCTCTAGGCGTTGTGCCTAATGCAAATGAGCGGAGTGGAATGTATTCCCCCTAGCAAAATATTTGGTAATTCCAGGCGGAGAGAGAAAGGGCGAGCACTAGGAAGGCGGGACGGGATGGGTGGGCAATGGAGGCCGTAGAGAGAAAAGGAGAGCACTAGGAACGTTAGAGGAGAGAGGAGGTTTCTCTCTTCCGCCCCAGCCTTCCTAATGCTTACCCTTTCTCCCCTCGCCTGGCGTTGCCTTCGCCTGTACTGCACGCTACTAATGACACGGAGTATAGACCCTTTGGTTGTCTACAAACGAACCGCTGCTTGAGTCCCAAGCGACGTCCGGTCTCTCGGTCTTTGCAAGCCTGTCGAGCTTGCTTATGTCACTCATTGAGATCTCGGAGGCCATGTGTCATCAGTGCTAGGAAGCGTAAATGCTACACGAACAACAAAGTTGGAAATTTAACAAAGGCCTTCGGCTGTGCAATTTAACCTCTCGGAAGAGGCAGGTTGGTTTACAAGAATCATGCGAAAAAGTTTAACAGATTTCGCTCTTCTTCGTTCCGCTCGTCCTGTTTGCCTCTCCGTCTTCGTATTCGTCTTTATTGTGCGCTTTCACTACTTTCAACATGCATAACCAACTCGCCTGCATCGCCACATTTCTTCGTTCTATTGGCGTTCAGCGGTGTAAAGGTGAGCTTGATTCATTCTTTTTATGAATCGGAAGTTCTTTGTGACGTCAAAGACTGGAGCACCGCCTGGTGGCATTTGCCATGAAAAAGGTCTATAGTAAAGTATTTGAATTTAACATCAAAGCGTTGTTTAAAACCCAATTCACTCTCCCTTTGTGACCTGGCGAGCCGCTGTTCGCCATGTTTTGATACATGTCACACATAATCGGAGGATAAGTGTCAAGGCTCAAGAGTGCGTGTCAGCCAGGCGAGGAAAGAATGGCTGTCCTTGTCGACACTACTAGTATAAATAGTGTCGACACGGACACCGATTCCTTCCTTCGCAGTATATTTCACACCTCCGCACGTGCTAAAAAACAATATAAAAGTTGTTTTAGCGCTTTCCACGCATTTTTGTACCTGCAGGACGAAAAGTACCTTTAGCGCACTACTATACGCTTCCCATGCGTTCAATGTATTTCTAAAAAATAAGGATTTCGTGGCTTTCGATGACGCTCAGCAGGTTTCTAACTGGAGCAATGGGTCTATTTTTGATAAATAGAAATTTAATTGCATTTTTACTTAAATAGCCGACTGATCGTTAGGTTAGCCCGGTATACTATGTCCCACTGGCCGTATTACTCACCTGCACGAATCGGATAAGTATAGTTTTCACGGCTTTTTTTTAAACACATCTATTAAGCTTAAAAAAAACTGTACGTAAAAAGAAAACAATTCGCTGTTAAGGCTGCTCTCATCACATGTAGTTATAATTTTAAAAAATTGACGATAAGTCTTACGTTTATCTCTTTGGGTTATTCGATCTTCATTCCTTCGCCATCTGTTCATACCTAAAAAAAAGTTCGGATTCTAAATAACGTGGCATGTTTTTGCGGTTTCAGCAATTCAGGGCCGGTGGAAAAGACGAAGCGCGACATGCACGAGCTGATCTCAATGGGCCGCTTTTGCTAGCGGTGGTTCACCTTGTAAGTATAACTCCCCCTGTTCTTTTCTTTTTTTTAAGCACAGCGCAACTAAACGGAAGCCTAAGACACTGTTCTTACCAAACCATCTTCAGCGAGGATTTCCTGAAGATGGCGCATCGCCTTCAAATTCTCTTACGCGTTATATTTTTTATCGCCTCTCAATTAAACAAATGACATGAAAAAACTTCGAAGCGTATCTTTCTTTTTTAGGACTAACGCGGCCTATAGCGAACAAGTTGTTCCCAACCAAGCAACACGAATGCCCCCCCCCCCCCCCCCCCACACACACACACACAGAGAGAGAAGCACACATAACGCCGAGCTATGATTGGAAGAATTAGTGGGTAGACTCAAAGGCTAGATACCAATCTTTCTCTACTCACTGTTCGAACGCGAGGAGGTAACGACGCTCCTGTTTGCTCTGGTTGGATTGGAGGGAGACTGTGCGTATAGAGACGAAGGCAGCTAGCCTCTGCGTCTATCCAAATCCGTCCAATCAGAGCACAGCACGGCGCTCTGACGTCCCCGCGCGCTCTCGTTTCCTCCTCTCCGTGAGTTTCTCCCCGTACAGTGGATGGACGCAGCGCCGCCTAGTTCACATCGGCGGCGACGCCATCGCGGTTTGCAGCGTCTCAAACGAGCGTGACGCTTGGCACGCAATGACGCCAATTTTCTCTTCGAGTTTTAGCCCGTTTGTTTTCCCACTAAAACCGACGTCATGCGTAGTCCTCGTTTACTAGATTGTAAACGAGGACTCTGCATTGTACCGGACTGACGACTCCGATACATTGCAGAGGTCTGCGGTTTGGTACATTGGCACTCGCATGCACCCCTTAGCTGAGCAAACTACTGCACGCTTTGTCAGCTGGGTTCGGAAAGCGCCGTGCGCGGGAGACATTAGGGAGTTTTAGGAAACCATTTTCGCACACCCGATACGGTGCGATGGGCCCTCCCGTACGTACTGCGCATGCGCTATCACAGAAGGTTCTCATATGCGCAGTTCGTACCGGAGGGCCCATCGTATACCGTATCGGGTTTGCAAAAACGGTTCCCTAAACATGCCCTTTCTAGCACGACAACCGAAAGGCCGTAAACGCGCCCGCGATGCTAGAAGGAGCGAGGGCCAACACCTCGCACTCCTCTTCCATGCGCCGCCATCATGTCTACACCAGTGGCACGTCAGCGCGTTCCCGACCCCGACGAACCTAGCCCGACCGCGACGGCAGCCCGCTTCCCCCGCGAGAACTTTCGTTTGAGGAAGCGCCTTTACTCTCCACCGTGCGAATCTCCAGTGCGCAGACGCGTGGTATTGGCGACGTGAGTGATCGAAAGCGTCGCTATGATCGGCCTTCCACGATAGGCCGAATGCTGACTATGACGTCAGCAAAGGATTTCCCATGGACGGAAATACTGTATAGAACTTCAATTTTAATGGTGTTGGCAGTGTTGCTCTGAGAGCGCAATGATTTCAAGCTTCTACCGTGCTCTTTACAAACACCATCAAACTTGTTGTTCACAAGGTAATGACGTCACGAGAGGTAACCATAGGAGGGCGCCACCAAAACATCTCGCCGCCAATACTTCGCGCAAGGTCAAGCACATGTGTTTGAGCAAGAAACCGAAAGTCGCGTGACATCGCATCGAGTGTCATCACTTTTAAGTTGCAACATACTCGGTTGCAAGCCTCAAGTACTCAATACGATGTCACTCGATGTCATATCACGAGCTGATATCACGGAGTCACTCAATATCATCTCACAAACTCAGAGTCATATTGTCACGGATGAAGGCGGAAAGACAATGAACAATGAATGGAAATAAACATTTAATCGTGCAAACTTGATCCCAAAATAAGCGAACAACCAAAAGGGGTAAAAGAAGATAAGCACAAAGCGTTGCGGGCGTCGGAGTCGGTGGAAACGCAGAGTCGAGCGCTGGCTGAAGAGTATGTCACGAAGGAGAAAGCATATGGATTGCGGAAGAGAAGAGGAGGAAACATTCCCCTCTCTCCAGCATTCCGCCTGCTTCCTCCTCACTGGCCTGCTTATCTTTTACACTCGGGGCAAGAGTAAAACGGGTCTTCTAGATCCACGGGGAAGCGTTCTTTCTCGGCCATGCACGCTGCAATATCATGGAGTCACTCAAATTCCCTCGCAATCACGCGGTATGTATGAGCGAGTCTGAGTGAGTGAGTTTGTGATTGAGTTTGTGAGTTTGCCGAGGTATGGTTGGTATTGCGTAACAGCTATGCTTTGATAACTGGAATTATATAAAATATTTTAGCATCGGGCACCAACTGTTACATTATAGTTAAGATCCCGTGTTTTCGGAGTTTTTTTTTTTTTTTTGACAGGTTAGGAAGGTGTTTTATTGAGTTTATTTTTTGCAGAAAATTTTGAGTTTAATAAAGTTCTTTTTTGTTCTATTCTCAATTCTTCCGATATTCAGAGCTTAATTTTTTTAATTTTTTTTATTTTAAGGAATAAAAATAAACAATATTCGGGTGTAGACATGTGCTAGATTCAAATAAATCCGCTTTTATCGAATTATCTTTTCTTTTTTCTTTTTTGCTGGATTCAACGTTGGCGCCACTGCCACTGGCAACACTAATTTATTCCACCACAACAACTGCAAACGAGTGTTGCTTCGATAAACGGCGATAGCTTAAGATCAATAAACCGGCCGTAATCAATAAATAAAGTCCCTGGGAAGCTAGTATTCGTCCCATCCTACGACTATCTATCAACCTACCCCGCGGCTGCGCGGGATCGAGTGGTAAAGGGTGTAATATAGAAACTTCAAGTGCCCACCACCTCTTCCCCTTGTGTCACGCGCGTTTCGCGCGTGACACAAGGAGGAGGGGAGGAGGAGAGGGTACGGATGAGGAGGAGGGGTATACCCTCCCATCAGTACCCTCCCCTCCTCCTCCTCCTCAAGAGCTGCGCTCTAAATCGGTGTTACTGGAAGTTGTAAACGTCTTTCATTTTTCTTTTCATTGGTAGTAGATGAATATTTGGAGTTTATCGCATTAATCCTAATTAACGAATATTCTCCCTGCGGGTTTTTTCGGAGATTTTTTCGGATTTATCCGAAAAGACAAAAGCTTACTTCTAGTTTGTGCACATTTTTTTACATCGCGCGTATATCATGCTCGTATTTTTGTATTTTTTATGACTGATGTTTTTCTCATGTAACTTATACGCGCATACTGCTCCTACGTACAATATAGACTTGTAATGGAGAGCGTGCTGGTAAGAATAATAGTATGAATAATGTGAGGAACATAAAACACCGGGTCGTCTTGTCCGTGCTCTATGTCTTATGTTCTTCCCATCATTTATATTATACAAGATTCAAGTCTAATCTACCTTTGAGCAGAGCTTTTTTTGTATTATTGTAAGACGGATACTTGATATTTGAACGCAAAACATCTCAGAGTTTTCATTTCACGCATGGTCATTGACAACTTAAGAAACGAGGGGCGTGACTTCTCATCATCAGGCTTCTGGCTTCGTGATTCAATCTTCGGCATTCGGTGGATTCCGGCATTCCATTGACCTGAATAATAAGGTGTTCACGAGTCGCCATACCCTGCCCCTCTCAAGTTGTAAGGGCACTCTATAGTGTGCTTTTAGGTCTTTGAGGGCTTAAAAAATATAGTGTCCAATTAGATTCATTCATTTCAGTTTTAGAAACGATTTTTCTTAAAACCAGAAGTTATATACAATATATAGTCACGTTTTATGTGTGTTCTGTATAACTGTGCAAACCTATAGCTTTTAACGCGTTACTTTTCCCTCGTCGGGTGAAGTCACAGGACCAGCGTCTCCCAGACTCCATAATGGCCAAGCCACCGAAGACAGACATGTCTGCCAGGATCACGGACCACAAGTCCGGGGTCCCGGACCGCCCGACGGATATATCCCGGGGGCTGCGCCGGGAGGAGAGCGCCTACATGCACGACATGATGGGCAAGCCGACCGCGGTCAAGAGTCCCGAGAGCACCGCCAAGAACGCCGAACTATCCAAGCTGCTGCGTCGCGAAGAAGAGAGACTCAGGAAGATTGAACACAACCTGCAGAGGCCGGACCTGATTGAACAGAACCTGAGAGAGGCAACCACCAGGACCATGAACGCGGAATCGGAATTCGCCTCGTCAGGAAACATCAAGACCGACACCCGCATGAAGATGACCGATGACCCGAGGTACGCTGAACCTCTTCCTTCGGCGAAGCAAAAATCCGTGCCGGTTTCGCCACTCAAACAGGCGTCGCCGTCCAAAGCCGCAGCAGCCCGGCAGCCACTCACCGGAGGGGGTCTGTACACGGCTATGAACGACAACGTGAAGACGGACATGGTTGCCGGCATCACCGACCATCGCTCGCACCTGGACGAACTCAGCAAGACGATGCAGGACCGCGTCCGCGAAGAAGAAAGCAACTACGCGAGGGACGTCAAAGGGGCTCCCGAAAAGAAGGACCAGGAAGTTCCTAAGCAGGAGGCCCTGGCGGGTGTCTCCAACGTCAGCACCAAGACGTACGCGTACATCACGGACAACAGGTCCAGGATGCGTGAACTGAGCGGAACGACGCGCGAGCGCCTGCGCGAGGAAGAGGACTCCTACTTGAGGGACATGCACCCCCATCCTGGAATGAAGGCGGAATTGGTGAAGCCCTCGGGTACCGCAACTCCAAAGGCCGGAGCTGTCGGAGAGACGACCCCTCAACCTCAAGCCGGAGCTATGACTGGAGGTGGGAGAGAAATAGGCGGCACGGCAGGGGGCGTCGGGACTCGCGCCGGGGCTGGTGCCGGTGGCAGTAAAGGAGGTGGAAGTGCCGGCTCGGCGCGTGTTGCCCCCACAACAACGCGTCAGAAAGACGATGACCACGCGGATTCCGAAGAGTATGAACACGAGCAGAACGTCTGCTGGTTGGTGCCTGAGCGAATACAAAGAATGTTCAGCCCGTTAAAGCCCCAACGGCCCCACAGGGCCGCTGGGGCTTCACTTCCACTTGAAATGGAAGTGGATGACGAGAGTTTCGACCCTTACTTGAACCAGGGAGAGGCCATGCAAACAGGTTACCAGCCTGAAGAAGAACATGTAATGTACAGAACGAGATCCCCTGTTCCCGGCCGGCGAAGGATGTACGAAACGGAACAGGAGTGCAAAATTATGTACCAAGGCAGTTTAGACCCAAGCATTGTATATCAAGAAATGCAAGGTGGTGGAATTGTATACGGGGGCAAAGGCTCGATGTATGATGATCAACAGCAAGGAATTGTGTATCAGGACGCGCAATGTGCGGCGATGTATATGGAAGAACCGGAACAGCGAGTAGTGTACCAGGACCCCCGCACGGTGTACCAACAACAAATGGTAGAAGCCATGCCCCAGGTACAGATGACGCAAGCCATCCCCCAGCAACAGTACGCATACGTGACCGGACGACCCGCAACGTGCATGTACAGCCCGTCGCAGAACCTCGTCACGCAGAAGGGCTACATTAAGATTAGTGTATCAGAGCAAGACTTGTCTCAGAATTGGACAGATAGGTACGCGCCAGGCGGCCCCAATAGGCAGCCCTCAGGCGTCGTCGCGGGAAGACCGCAGCCTATGACAATGCAGCAGGCGCAAGGCAGTGATGCAACTGGGTTCAGAATGTACATGAATGCACAAAGGCAATATCAGGGTCAATCTCCTGGCGGCAGTATGGAGTCTGAAGGCGGGTTCTTCACAAGGGATGAAAGTTTTGGAATGAAGACGGCTGCAGTTCAGACTATGCCAGACCTTCCCATATCTACTACAGTACAAACCGAAATCTCTCATAAAGAAACGAAAAGCGTCCATGCTAAGGCAGAAACAGACGAAGTAGCGACTCAGCAGAATTTTCCTAAGTGGACTGTCTCGAACTCCCAGACGTTTCCACCATATGTTCCAGGTGCCGGTATGCCATTCATGGGCATGGGCCAAATGGCCAGCCCGTTCATGAGTACGCGAATGCCTGTGGCACCTCCAATGGTACACGAACCTCCACCGCCACCACCAGCTTCGTCCCGACCGTGCGATGAGTGTGACCGAAAAAAAAACTGCTGCGAAGACGTCCCTTTCGAAGATCTGCAGCGCAACATTGAGGAGGACATTGCAAACATTGTCAACGAGAATATGAACGTCAAAATTAGCAACGAAGACACTAAGATTCTGGTTGCAAGGCCCGACTCGCCGTATAAGTTGGTCTACCTTATCCCTCAGCGTCCTGAAATTGTAAAGGAGGCAAAGAGTATACAAACAGCTAATCTACCCGAAGACAAATGGATGCAGACCGACGCAAAAAGTCGTAATTTATCGCGAAGGAGTGTCGCCGATGGCGAAGCTGCTGAGGCGAGCTGCCAGATCGAAGTTTCAAAAATTAATACGAAAGAGTGTCGGGTGAACGGCAAACGCGTGAGGACCACAAAAGCCTACAGAATTAGCCAGTCAGAGGACAAGGACGGTATGACTGAGGTAATTCAAGACTCGAGTTCGTCCGACCGCGGCCGAAGTCGTTCGAAAAGCAGGTCCAAAACTATGTCCAGGCGTGCTGTTTCTGAGGGCAAGTATCCACAAAGCATTACAATATCCGTGGGCCGCACCAGTTCCACCACGGAGCGCAGCCGATCCCGCAGCTGCACCTTGAGCCCAGTACGTAGCGTGGTAACGGGTCCGAATCGCTCGCCTAGGCAAGCCGGAAAGCGCTGGAAAGAAATCAGCATCTCCAGCAGCTACAGCAGTGCCAGCAGCCGCACAAACGGGTCCATCATAGGCGTTTCCTCAAACGCCGGCACGGCCAGTACGCACACCAGTTACTACTGCGACCCTTCGAAAAGGCCTCTCTTTCGTAGCTGCTCTATGACCAATATGCCTCCCAGCAGCACAGCGCAATCCCCAGTGCGGTGCCTCGTAGCCGGAGGCGCTACTGGAATGGTCTACGAGGGCAACAAAGAATGGCGTCATGACTACCGAAATAAAGTAGGAACCAGTTCGAGTAAAGTGTATGTGGAGAGGGCCTATCCGGAGCCCCCGGACCCAAAATATCGACCAGAATGCAGGTCTCCTCTCTCCACCGATCCGAACGTTGTCCTCTGCACTGATACTGGCGCTCCCCGTCGCACTGAAGTCTGCACCCGCACTCCCGAAGGTTTCACTCGCCGCATCACGGAGGTCTACACTACGCGGCCGTCTGACAAACGCACTTACTCTCCTGTTGGGGGGCAACCGCCCAGGATGTCGGCACGACCGAGGTCAGCCTCAAGCGGACGGCGTTCAGTCACCAACTACGAGGGCCTGCAAACCGCCCGAGTTGCAATGGGAGCCGTGGGCCAGTCCTCCAACTATCAGGCCGAGCAGATAGCCAAACAAATTGCGCATCAGCTCGCCCCGCAACTTTCGGCCATGAAGCAAATGGAACCCCAACGATATGTTCAAGAACAAGAAACAATACGACAGCCGTCTAGAAGCCCATCTGCGTCGCAGAGAACAACCCTGCAGCCACTCCCGCAGAGAGCCTTTCAAAATTCGTCCCGCCCGGTCTATATGGCCGAAAGCCCCGAGGACGACGTGTATCGGGGAGGCTACTACACTTACAAGGCGACACATTCGCAAGAGCGCCTCTTAAACGAGCAAAGCCACAAGATTGCGAAGGATTGCAAAGTGAGGTACAACCGTGAAGCGGCGCCTTCGGTAAGCCAGGGTCTCCTACAGCAATCCTCGAGACAGCAACCCGCCCGGTATGCTTCGCACGGGAACAACAGGCGCATGATGGTGCAAAGCTCGATGAGCCAGACGCTCCACCCCACGTACCAACACGCGAGCCTGAGGACGAACTACACACCATACAGCAAACCCTCTACAATCCTACAACCCGGTCAGGCCCCACCACGCTACATTCTACCCATTCAGTTACAAGTTACCGGAGGGTCCAGCCGCGGGCCAGTGTCAATGGCCACTTTCCGAGCGACAGTGCCCGTACCAGCGCATGCAGAAGTCATGGCCCCTAGCAAGGCGATAAACGGGATCGCGATGAACCAGCAGCAGCAGCTTCAACAGCAGGACGCTGGCTCGACCACGCAGATGCGGTCCATCCATCCAGACGTAAGTCCATCGAGGGCTCACTCTCCTCAGCGCTGTCCAGTGGACAAGAGGAAAGCCTTCTACAAAAGGTACGTCATTCACCCTAGTGTCTCCTCTCGCACCCTTGGCTTAGTGCTTCAGAACTAAGGTGTTGCAGGCGGTGTAATATATATACATCACTGCCCTCTTTGTCCGTACCCTCATGTGCAAAAAACGCTGCATTAGCTGTCACATGGAGAGAAGCCGGCGTTATCTGATGTCTGTAACAGCGAAAGCCGGCACCTAAACACCCATTGCCTGAGCGAAACGGCTTCTAAATACTCATTGGTTGAGCGAAACGGCACTAAAATCCCGTTTTGGCTGAGCGAAATGGCACGTGAATTCCCATTGCCTGCGCGAAACGGCACACATATTGCCACTGGCTGCAAAGCGGACGCGGCTCAGAAAACATAAAACACAAAGAAAAGCACAGCAACGCAGATGCCTCGTCGCGGATGCCGGCAGGGCGCTCAAGGTCAAAGCGGACGCGCCCCAGAAAACATAAAACACAAAGAAAAGCACAGCAACGCAGATGCATCGCCACGGAAGCCGTGGATCTGGCGAGGGGGCCGCGCCTGCGCAGTGGGGGAGCGTGAGGTCACCGCAGAGCACCGTGTGAAAAAGGAAGAAGCGGCGCGCTGCTTGTAGCAGTCTTAACTGTCTTCTCTAATTTGTATTTGACCATAACAGGAAAATTACGCATCGTTGGATGACCATGTCTTCCCCCAAATAGGATAGTGGTCCGAACCAGCTTTCAAAATTTGAGAACTGACCGGTATCTTCTCCAAAAGTTATGAACAATTTTCGTCAATTTCCTAATGAGAAAATGGTCGCCGATAAAGCCCACGAATACATACGGACGAATGGCGTCAATTACCGGGAAGGGGCCTCATTTTCTTATTAAAAGTTCGAGAAAATCACCTGTAACTTTTAAATAAGACAACGGTTGACTCTGAAACTTTGGCATCTGGTCCTCTGAAACTCTGGCAGCTATGCACGCGCACTCTTGCTATTAGTAAAAAAAAAAAAAAAAAAAAAAAAAGGAAGACGTCACGATTGGTGTTAGTGCGGGGGAATATACCTGGCAAGCTTGCAATGGAGCGCGCTGCCCACACGAGGGACACGCGCTTGGCAGGCCGAGCGATCCTTTTATGACGTCACGACTGGTCGAAAGATTTTCGTGTTTTCTCACGTTGAGTTGCATTTTCGAGGAAGACGAACGCGATATTCAGATTCACGGGATGAAAATACTCTCGAATTCATTTCTAACCCGTCTTTTTTTTTTTTTTTTTTTTTTTAAGAATCTTTTCAGCTTCCCTTTAACGAAGTCCGAGTTCCCACAAGGTTCGAAAGTGTGTTCATACTAAAATGTAATTATTTTTAGAATCGAGAGTAGTATAATTGCTACCGCGCTTGAGCATTGTACATGCTAGATGTATATTCTTTTCCAATAGCATTGTCAAGAATGCGTAGAAAAAAAATGAGGAACTAGTGCAAGAGGCATGACCAATCGGACGTTCCTTATTTAATTGATTCGAATCTTATAAACTAAATGTCTATCACAAAACGATAATTATTTCAAGTCAGCAGTTTTTTTCTTTTTTTTTTTTTGCTTTTTTTAATGGCTGAAAAGGCATCAGCACACAAAGAGGGAGTTGCTTATATTCAATTTCTTTCCTTTTTTGTTCTCTATTAAGTAGACATAGATGCTAGACATAAAACACGGGCACACTCACTGTCAGTGCAAGAATGAAAATTGATTTAACGAAGCCTGCATTCATTGAAAATATGCGCTAAACTAAGCGCAGTAAGAAGTGGTTCCTAAAAACAAAAACTAAGATTACCAATGACTTTACCTTTAATGCCTTATAATGCCTCCAAGGCCATACTTGAGGTGGGAACGTTTAGATTTGTTTACAAGACATCAAACTGTCGCTTCGGGCCGTGAAGACCGCCTTGTTTATTCATTTTCTCACTATACATTTAGGGTAAATATTGACGTGACATGGCCTGACGTCATGTGACAGGACATCTCGGTGTCATGTGGCCTGATGTCAGGTAACCTAACATCGAAATTGGTATCACAGTTTTAAGTTACGTCACGTGATACCATCACGTCAGGTGACGCCAATGTCCCCGCTAACTTTTGCGGTGAAATGCATGTTGTAAAAAATGCAGTCTCTGAATCGGCAGCGGACTTCTTTCCGAAACTTACGCTGGTTCGAGTTACGTGAACATGCTGCAGAACCCGGTCATTTAAACAGCAGCTCGAAACCCATTCTAATCAGCAAGAGAATCAATGTAGCCATTGCTTGGGTCCAAAGTCACCTGTGGAGCAAGAGTGCAAACCTGCCGTTTACACTCTTTAGGGGGGAGGATCCAAGGTGGGGGGGAAGCGAAAGGGGCGCCCCCCCCCCCCCCCAAACAAAGTCGACCCCCTCCCCCCTCCTTTTTTGGAGGCCAATTTGACGTGGGTGGAACCCCCGGTGCACAAGAAAGAATGGGAGAATAGTATCTTTTCAAATTTTCCGCCCCCCCCCCCCCCAAACGGAGTTCTGGATCCGCCCCTGCACTCTTAAGGGTGTAAACAAAATGTACACCTTTAAGAGTGTAAAACAGCTTGTCCCCGGTCTAACACCTTAGGGCTGTTACGGCAACACCCTTTTCAATTTCAATTATTTTATTTTATTTTTCAAAATTTATTTTTTACAAATACACAAATATTTATTGGGCCCATAGCATTGAGCTGGAAAGGGTTCCAAATAAAAATAAATTCCACATTGCAACAGGCAAGCCGATGAAACAACGAACAACAATCAAAAATATACTAACCTAATAAAGTGTTTCAGTGTTCGGACAAATAGTATTTTAAATGAAATATATATCTTTAACACGGCCAGAAGTTGGATTTATGTTTCACATCAGTGGGTATTGGATCCCAAATTAATGCTCCTCTGTATATATCCTATCAGTCTTTGACCATACATATTTCGACATGAAGGCAAATTGAAGTTAAGATTGGTAGCAACCCTCGTTTGATTTCTTGGAGAGTTAAACTTACTATGAATGGCTTATTTGATGCTATGATTTTATTAATAGCTTGAACCAGGGTTAATTTATTAAAAATATACAAGTATGACTCGCATTGACTGGTATAAATGTCTACTTGAATCGGTGGTTTTTAAAAATCTGACTATTCTGAGCGTCCGTTTCCGCAGGCGAATAACCGTATCTAGGCAAAGAGGATGTGTACTGCCCCAGGACCCGATGCAAGAACTCATTAGATGATTGTGAACAAGTGAAAAATATAGTCGCTTTCAGGCAGGTTAGTTACGACGGCATGGGTGCCGTCGTAACTAACCTTTCGTTTTTGTTTCCTGTTATTCCGTTCGCTGCACTTCATCATTACCACAGCAGGACAGGGTATTGCCATTTTAGATACTCCGCGTCCTTCTCCCCAGCAAAAACACCGGTGGAGGTTCGTAAACGGCCGCTTCAGTGGCTCGGCATCTCGGTAGAAGGAGAGAAGGTTGGCTATGGCGGCTCAATCTGGCGCGTGTTTAAAGCGTCTATAGCATTGGAAAAATGAACGAGTCAAAATATTCACGTGCCCTGAATAGTTTGTAACATCCGTAGGCTGGCTTTGAAGATACGTTTTTAATTTGACTTTTCCAATTCATATCCGATTCAAATAAGACTCCTAACTTAAAGGTAACAGCGCAAAAGATAACTCACAGGTCCAGACCTCACGCACACCGTCAAAACGAAGCCTCTCACGTCACGCCGATATATCAACTCTGGCTTGCATTTTTGTCTTCTTCCTTTACACCGATAAGAAATAAAAAAAAAAATCTCTCTCTTTCTTTCTCTCTCTCTCTCTATATATATATATATCTATATATATATAAAACACGGGCACTTCACACCATCGTATATATATATATATATATATATATATATATATATATATATATATATATATATATATATATATATATATTTATCACACTTTGTTGTTTTCTTTCTGCTGCTAAGTAAGACCACTATTAAGGTCCGTTCACACTCTTGCGACCAAGACAGAGAGAGACCAGACAGGTTTATAAGCCTCTTGCGACGTCTTAGGACTAGCTCCGCTGCAGCTTATCCGGTCCTAAGAAGTCGCAAAAGGCTTAAAAACCGGTCTGGTCTCTCTCGGTCTTACTCGGTCGCAAGAGTGTGAACGGCGCTTTGTTCTGCGTGGTATTCTGTCCTCTTGTAAACTATTTTAAAGTCTAACGCACTTATTGCTTTCGAGTGGAGTCGATCTGGGTATAACAACCCCTTCTCGGAAAGCGATATATAGAAAGATTGCTAGCACGTGTTTCACTCTGCTTCATTCTGTGATATGAGTGTGTGAGTTATCTTTTGCGCTGTTACCTCTAAGTCATGAGGAGCAAACTCGGCCAAGCCTTCATCTTAAAGGGACTCCTTAATATTTGTAAAAATAAACATGACTCAACTCTGTATTGTCTAAGCAGATAAAATACTCGACGTGGAATATTTTTTTTCTTTGTGTAAAATACTGTGTACTTAGTTGCTTTTTAACATTAGGGGCAAGTTGATTACTTGTAAACTATATGTTATGACTGTGGAAGCTCCTAATTTATTTTACATTTAAGTTCAGCTACCGAATCTTCTACAAAAACCTAGTGCTGTATCATCCTCGTACATTACGTCTGAGTATTTTAATAACAACAAAAAGTCATTGACTTAAAGTTAAAAAAATAGTTGGCCCTATAACTGAGACTTGTGGAGCCCCAGTTAACAGAGTTTCTGGGGTAGAAATAAATTTGTTAATTATCACGGATTGTCTTTTATTGGAACTATTGAACAGATGAAATATTTTGCCAGAAGAGCCATAATTGTGTAACTTATTGAGTAGGGCGGTGTGAGTAACTGTGTTGAAAGCCCTTTTTTAAATTTCAAGACACAACCACAGCAATATTATGTCATAAAAAGCCTTATTAAGAAGTTGGCTTAAAAAGTGAAAGCCGTTTACAACTCCCTGTAA